ACAAGTATCTACTTAATAACACTACTCTTATTTAAATATTAATTTAATATTAATGTTACTATTTTATTCACACTATCTGAATACTGCTGTATGCATGCAACAAGTCTTTATTTACTTATTACTACTGTAAAGGAACATGAGGCACTTTCTGAGAGTTCCTACGGCCTTATGCAGGCAAAAGAGTTAATACAAGACCATATGTTTAAGAAAAATGCCAATTTAAATGATGCAAGTAATAAATGACACTGATTTGCACCATTTTGGAAAAGAAATGAACAAACATATGAGTAGTCATAAAAGTTCATTTTGGCCAAAACCGGTTTGGCTCAGTGGATAGAGCGTCGGCCTGCGGACTGAGGGGTCCCAGGTTCGATTCCGGTCAAGGGCATGTACCTGGGTTGCGGGCACATCCCCAGTGGGAGATGTGCAGGAGGCGGCTGATCGATGTTTCTCTCCCATCGATGTTTCTAACTCTCTATCCCTCTCCCTTCCTCTCTGTAAAAAATCAATAAAATTTAAAAAAGGAAAAAAAAAAAAGTTCATTTTGTAAAAAAAAAAAAAAAGTTTCCTTGATCATACAAGGAATACCCAAGTGGTTCCGTGCCTATAATATTTACCTCATTCTAGCTACTAATCTCTAGCTACTAACCAAGTCTTAAGACCTTAGGAAACCAAATTCTGAGTTTCAGTAGTCTCATCCACAAAAATACTAACCTATCTCAAAAAGTAGATGACATAAGAAGTGAAAATGAGTACCACATTAAATATATTTACAAAGTTCTAGGGAAATGCTTATTACAATGCTAAATAACAACTTCAGAGGATACCGTTCCAGAAGTATCCTTGACAAATGCACATATCAACACTAACTAGGTAAATTTCACCAAAAGCCACAATCTTTTAAAGAGAAAAACAATAAATCAAAATAATAAGCCCTTATGATGTCTATATCCTATGAGTATGAAACATTTCACAAATATCAATTAAGGCTATAACTGCCATGGCAAGTTTAAAAATTATACCCATAGCAGAAGCTAAATTAAAGTTCCATTTAAATGACTAGCCCAAAGTGTCGTACCAAACCAGCAACAAAGCTAAAACAATGCAAAAAGCCTTCACTGCAATTAGCTATTAGGCTTACATAACACAGCATCTTTCTTCATGAAGAAACATTCTCAAAACGTTTTGTCTTTCTACAACTAAGTATCTTCAGGAACTGATTTTCTTTTTCTTTTCGAAACTTATATTGTATACCATTAGTTTTAAATAGAGAACGTAAGTAAAAAATACAGTTTTATAAGATAGAACAGTGGCAAAGAATTTCCAATTCAAACTTAACATTTCTCTTTTCAATGTACATAAAACAGGTTACTGTCATTATGAAATATTTTCACAACAGAGACTTAAAGACAAGTAAAAAAAAAAATCTCTTTTAGAACCACAGCCAACATAGCCAGCTGAGTTTAAAACCAAGTCTCAAGTCCCTCTGGCAACAGTGTGCATGATTCACTGCTTTAGAACTCAACTGGAAGGATTGGAAAATTCACTCTGATTGCACTAATATTAAATATTTTGTTTGGGATTTGTTAAGACATCTCCATCCCAATGTTGACAACTTCCATAGTTTTCCATTGCTTTAGTCGGTTTGGCTCAATGGATAGAGTGTCGGCCAGTGGACCAAAGGGTCCCGGGTTCAATTCTGGTTAAGGGCAAGTTCTTCAGTTGCAGGCTCCTCCCCGGCCCAGGCCCTGCAACACCTGTGCAGGAGGCAACCAATCCATGTGTTTTTCTCACATCGATATTTCTGTCTTTCCTTCCCTCTTCCACTCTCTCTAAAATCAATGGAAAAATATCCTTGGGTGAGGATTAAAAGAAAAAGAAAAAGATAAATTATGAATAATACTAACCACATGTAAACAAAAAGTAGTCATATATAGTTGATATATATTTTGTCTTTTTTATATATGTAATTCAGTACATATGAAACATGATATGATGAAAACAAGACTAAAATACAGACTGCGAAATATGGTTGTTCTAGCTAGAAAACAAAAAATGACGATACAAATCCAAATCTCTTATATACTGGAGTTTCTTTATCTGGAGAAACAGACAATAAGTAATTCTACTAAAAAATGAAATCTATCCCAATCTCATTAAAAGTTTATGAATATAGGATTATGAAGAATTTTAAAAATGGATCACATTAAGCAAAAGTTTCCACAAATATCAGATACACTAATAATCTACCAAAAAACAAACAAACAAACAAAAAACTGCTCTTGATGCACTTTTATAACTATAAATACTAGGGATAGGGATATGTCAGACATTTAACAGTGATTTGCCATTCTTAACCTTACTCATTCCTCACTATATGAACCCTCCTACTTTCTAATCACATTAAAAGTAACCAAAGCATAAAAATATAACACACACTGACAGTTATAAGTGTGTCACAATTACCACATCAACTTGACATTCTTTTCAAGGTATATTCATAGGAATGCTTGATACAAAATATTAAAGTAACCTACCCTCTCTAATGGTAGTATCTTACAGAAAGGACCCTTTCAAGGGGACAACACAAGAGCCTTTAACACTAATTATCTTATCCTTTTTTACTCCTTTTTGATATTATTTTTTTTAAATCACAGCTTTACTGTTTTAATGCAAACTAAAGTAAAAGAAAACATCTGTAGTATTCTTATTAGATTTCTGCAATATTTCCACTAATTCTTGCCAAATATTTCTGGCATTCATTAATTTATACTTACTTAACTAAAACAATAAGAACATTAATAAGGGTGTATATGTGTGTGTGTGTATCTACAGATACATACAGACAATAAGTGCCTGCTTTAGAGCAAGGACACTGCTTTTTACCTCAATTATTCAATTCCCACCTTGCCAAAAAGGTGGAAACTAAAATCATGGGATTTTTAAGATTTACCACAGAGAAATGCCTTTCTGGTAGCATAAATTAGTACCAAATAACCTTAGAAACATAAGCCAGAAACAAAATGCTATGAAAGAGCAACCTAAATCTAGCATTTCACAGCTTCTGCTCTCTTACTCCACCCAGTCTCCTAGGCTCAATGGCTGTTCATAGCCTCCACAAATGTTAGCCCGTTTTTTCAAAAGGGGGCAGGAGGGTGCCAAAATAGGGCTAGCGCCGTCAAAATCAATATATACAGAAATATTTTGTGAAAATTTGGGTTCTATTCTCTTAATTATTTATTTTAAAAATAACAGCTTCAAACTTGTTTTAGATGCTGCCCTTCTGAACAATCCAAACAATGTATAATAGAACATGAAAGAATAAATCTCCCTAAATACAAATTGCTCTTTTGCTTTAATAAAAACTGCAATTTGCAACTGCCAATTATTTTTTCAAAACTGTGTCCTCAAAGATCCCCATGAGATTAAAAGCTAGCTAATGCCTTAGGTCCAAATCAGAATTTAAGTAAAAGCTTTTTATATATTCAACATATCACCACCGACATACACAAGCAGGAAATGTTCCTGATTAAGAAGCTGGACCCTGCAGCAATCAAGCCCCGCTATAAAATAAATAAATAAAAATATAAAAATTAAGCAAATACTACTGTGACAAATGGGGAGGGATGACATTACTGGTATGAAAGCCCCAAGCACTGTCTCCTCCGCCCTAGCCTCAAAATGAAAAAAAAAAAAAAAAATCACACAAAACAATCCACCTCCCATCAAAAATATAATTCCCCAAAACGGCACGCATTCTTGGGTTAGCCTTTAAAACGTGATGAATCTCGAGGATTGTGTGTTTAAGCAGCGGTCGGAATAACAGTAATATCTTTATTCTCTCCCGATTGCCTCCTACGGGGGAGGGGGAGACCTTGGCATGACATCGCCCATTGAGAACGAGACAACAAATCTGGTGCTTCTCTTAAAAAGTACAGTTTCCTAACCCACGGATATAAATGGGACCCAAATCCCAACCCCGAGAGAAAAATCTCCTGCCCTCCTCCCAGGGAGTTTCTTGCTAAGTCACTGAGAAAGGCAAAACAACAAATAAAGCCGAGGCACCTTGCTCTCTCCTCTCAGATCCTGGAAACCTCCTCCTCCTCCTCCTCGCCACTCGAAGGCTTAGAGACAGAGTGAAAATGTGCCCACCGCCTCTTAGGCATCTCTCACCGGGGAGGCTAAGGAAGAAGGCACTGCTATTCGTTCAAGGGATGGGGAGGCCGGAGGAAGGGGATAGCTGAGGGCCTCGAAGCTCAGGGTTACCACGTCAAAAGGCAACTCCCGTTTCAGGAGCCAGTGGCAGGAAAAAAGAAAAAAAAAAAATCCTGCCCGATTTGGTGGGTGGATGCTGCAGATGGTTCGGTGGGTCGGGCCGCTGTCTGCTCAGTGGATGCAGAGGCTGGACCACGGCCCCGGGAGGCCAAGGGAAGGGGCTGGCCATCCCGACCCCATCCCGAGGACAGGTGGGGACGCGACTCCCGGGAAGCCGGTGGGTGCCGCGGCGCCCGGGGCCGCGCCCCTCCCCGCCGCCCACCGCGGGTGGCGTGGGGAAAGCGGGGTGGGCCCTCCGTGGCCGGGGACACGAGGGCCGAACCCTTTCTCCGGGATCCGAGGGCGACCTGCTCTCCACGCCCTTCCTACCCAAGAATACTTTTCTTGCTAAGTCACCGAGGGAGGAGCGCGATCCCTTCCCGGGGAGGGCCGCGGGTGAAGCGGCGGCGGCCGGGCACCCCAGGACCCGGGTCGGGGAGGAGGGGAGCGAGGGCAGCGCCCTTCCCGGCCCTGTTCCCCCTCCTCTCGAGTGTCTCACTCAACGGCCGCCGCGGCCGCCATTTTGAGAGCGAGGAGAGAAGAAGAAGGAGGCGGCGGCAGGGGGAGGGGAGAATGGGAGGGAGGGGACCGGCGCAGCCACATCGTCAGGCCGCCGGGCTCGGCCCGCAGCCGCCCGAGCGCAGCGGAGAAGACAGAGAGAAGGGCGGAGACCCTCGTCGCCTTACCCGAGCGCTGCACCGCCGCCTCCGCAGGGCCTCTTCCGTCCTTCACTCCCATCCACCGGCGGGGGAGGGGGAGAGGGAGAGGGAAGGGAAGAAGGAGGGAGGGAGGGGAGGAGGGAGGGGAGGATGGCGCGCTGGGCCCGGGCCCGGGGAGGGGGAGGGGAGCGGCAGCTCCTCAGCCGTTCCGGGGCGCGAACCCAGGCCCGGCGCTCGCGGTTTCTCTCGCTCGCGCCCGAGCGCTCCCCTTCTTCTCTTTTTCGCTCCCTAGACCCCGGGGTCGCTACTCATTCGCTCGCTCACTCGCTATCTCGGCCGCCAGACGCCGCCGCCGCCGCCGCCCCGCCGCTCTAGCTCCGTCTGTCACAGGAGCTGCCCCAACGCCCTGACGTCACCGCGCCGCCGCCGCTGCCGCCGCCGCCCCAGACCCGTCGGGAAGGAGGGGGGCGGGAGAGGAGGCGGAGCTGCGGCGCATGCGCCGGCCTGGCCGGGCTCCGGGCAGCGCTGGCTTCCGCTGAGCCGGCGGTACCCTGGAGCCGGTGAGCGAGGTGGCGCACGAGCCGCTGCTTCTCGCGCCCTGCGCGCCTCCGTAACCTTCGAAATAGTCTCTCGGTTCTCTTTCCCTAGACCCTGGTGTGATTGTTCGGGCCCATGACGAACTCCCCGCCCTGTTCTTGCCGATAAACAACAATCTCCCCAGTTGCGCCCACCAACAGCGGGACCCTCTAGCATCCGTGGAGTCCGGGGCCCCGATAGGCTTCGGAATAAAGCCGACTCTGGGCCACGCCGTCGACCCTTCTACTTCCAGCTTTCGAGTTTATTACCTAGTTTGGGGCTGTGCGTTGGAAGCAGGTTGGGTTCGCTTGGGGAGAAGAGCCGTTGAGGTTAAAAGGCTGATGGAATGCCCAATTGTCTTCACTTTTATTATAGATTTTTAATTGGGGCAATTTGCTTTTAGATGTGATTCAGCTATTCTTTTCCTTAGTCTCTCTCACACACACATCTGAGAATCTGAAAGTCTCAAAACTGAAGCCCAAGAAAAGATCTGGAACTTTACCCTTACAAGGTGTGTGTGTGTGTTTGCTAAATTATGGGCTGAAATACTGATAACAAAGAAGTCTGGGGAATTTGTAGTCCGTTTATTCACACAGAGACGTATGATTTAAAAGAGGCCGGATTGGAGGTTCTGAATCATTTAACATGGGATATTCTTTTAATAACAGGTATCTAGTGTGGTTATTTCATCAATAATTTTCATTGTCCAAGGAAACTCTTTTCCTGAAACATGTAAGTTTAAGGTTATGTTCATTGATTTTATTACTTCCCTTTATGTCGGTAAATACATACACCGCCTTCGGAGAAGCAGCTGAGTTAATGAAAGAAATAATTTGGGTATGAATCCTGGATGAGCCGCTTACCAGAAGTATGACCTTGGCTAAATTACTCTCTCTGGCCTGGGCTTCTCATGAAATAGACTTAGTAAATAACTAATTTGTAAGGCTTTTGTGAGAATTAGAGGATGCTGCATGTGTAAAGTAGACTGCCTTAGTTAGGAATCACAGGTAACTCGTGTAACCGTTACTGTAGCTTGGTACCAACACAGGTTTCCTTTTATCAAAAAAGGTCGTCTCTATCCCTGGAGGTGTTCAAGAGGAACAGGAGTGAATTGCCTGGAGGGTTTGGTTTTCTCCTTGATGAAGGCAGAGAAGGAAATCAAATGGTCTCTGCAAGGTCTTTTTCAGATTTACAGTTAAGGGGTTCTCTAGTTAGATAAGGACAAAACGAGGGATAGAGAAGTCTGTGCTACATCCAGTAACAGGAAATAAACATGAAATAAATTAACATCTCTTCTTCTAAAAATCTACTTTCGGTTCATTTCTGTCTTTTAAAATATTATTTATTGTTGCCTGATATCACACTTCTTAATATTTAATTGGCTGAGTAAATCAGTTCTTTATTTTTTAAGCCAGAATATGTATATTTTATTTTTATTTTATTATTTTCTTTATTGATTAAGGAATTACATATGTGTCCTTATCCCCTCGTTGAGTTCTTTATTGTCTTAAATGAATGTTCCAAAAGCCAACACAATTGTCCAGAATAATCTTAGGATCACATTAATAAACACTGATTTAATGCAAATTGGTAGCACTAATCCCTATAAACCTTGAGTTAATAGACTCATATGTTTACAATATTTTAAAATCTGTATTATGTAATTATGTACTAAATTGAGACCAGGTTTTATTTTTATAACAATCCTTAAGAAACATACACCAATAAACCTGCTTGGAAGGAATGTGTAAAAACTTTCTTCCTCAATAATAATTTTTCAGAACAGAAATAAAACTGTTATATGCTTGATATGGAGCAATGTGCTCTGCTTCTGTGCACTTTCTTTTCAGTCGCTAAAATAATAGCTCTATCTTATTGAACACTTGTCTATTGAGACTGTAGAATTAGGACATCTATGCTATCAATCATAATTCATAAGGACTTACACAGGTCCTACGAGAATGCATCCACCAGGAAACATTTAATAATGAATATTTTAGATGATGTTTCTTGAAAAAAAAAGTATAAACATCCATTTTACTTACAGCCCAAGGAAAGATCTGAAACTAACAATCCCCCCATTCATTTGCATTGCAAATCTATATTTTTCAAGTAAACATTTCCAAAATGGAAACATTTGTTTTAATTGTTGCAGTAAAATTGGTGTTAGTTTAAACAGTGCTGCAAATAAGCTGATTGGAAGAAACACTCCAAAAATATTGCTATTGGGGAGAGGACAAAATGTCTTCTAAAAGTAGCTCCAGAGCTAAAATCTGTTTACAATGAACACAAATGTTAAAATATTGTTTTGATAATTAAACTGTCTCCTGTTTATAGACAAATACATTGTTGTGTGTGTATATTTGATAGAAAGCAATTACTAAATGGTGAGAAGGTAGCTCTCAGGCCTACAAGTTATATGTATCATTTGAAAGAAGGCCATGACCCAACTGGTAAGAGACTCACTCCAGGAGATTTTAGCTAATTGATTATGTACTTGCATTTTCCCAAAGCATGGACATGTAAATGAGGGCAAGTCCAACTAAATCAGTCATTCTTCATCTCAGCATCATGACATCCTTATGTGTCGTAAACATTGGGAGGCCAAAGAAACAAAGAATATTAAAAGAGGTGAGCCTGGCCAATGTGGCTCGGTGGTTGAGCATCTGCCAATGAACCAGAATGTCACTGTTTGATTCCCAGTCAGGGCACATGCTGGGGTTTTGGCCTCAACCCCCAGTAGGGGTTGTGCAGGAGGCAGCCAATCAATGATTCTCATCATTGATGTTTCTATTTCTCTCTCCCCATCCCTTCCTCTCTCTGAAATAAATAAAAACATTAAAAAAAAAATAGAGGTGAAACTCCCAGCCTGGACTTGAAGCAATATTTAGAAACAGCAGTTTGTAATCTAAAAAATTAAATATACATACATATATATGTATGTATATATAGAGGGAGATATAGGTAGAGAGAGAAATAATTTTAAAGTGCTAACTTAAAGAAACAATGCAAAAAGATGTATCAACCTGGCTAGTGTGGCTCCGTAGGTTGAGCATCATCCAGTGCACTGTAAGGTGGCCGATCTGATTCCTGGTGAGGGCACATGCCCAGGTTACGGGTTCAGTCTCCGGTTGGGTCGTGTACAGGAGGCAACCAATTGATGATTGATGTTTCTCTCTCTCTCTCTCCCTCTACATTTCTCTCCAGGATCAATTTAAAAAATATTTTAAAAATAGATGTATTGCCATGACGGGTTTGGCTCAGTGGATAGAGCGTTGGCCTGCAGACTGAAGGGTCCCGGGTTCAATTCTGGTCAAGGGCATATACCTTGGTTGTGGGCATGTCCCCAGTGTGGGGTGTGCAGGAGGCAGCTGATCGATGTTTCTCTCTCATCGATGTTTCTGACTATCTCCCTCCCTCCCTCTCTGTAAAAAAAAAATCAATAAAATATATTTAAAAAAAGAATTAGATGTATCAAATTCATTCTAGATTTCACTACAGTAGAACAGGCAAAGGAGGAAAACTTTCTTCCCTTTTGTGCCTGTATACCTAATAAAGTAAAAGATTAACTCTTACTTAATGGACTTAATGTTTTTATGAAGGAAGTGATTTAAAGCAGACCTTTAAAAATGACTAAAGTTTTTAAATGACTAAAATTTTAATTAATTCATTCAATGTATATTTATTGAATGCCTTCTAAGTACCAGACCCTGTGCTGGATGCTGAGTATGCACAGTGAACCAAACAGAATTCCTGAGCTCGTGGAGTTTATATTCTGGCAGAAGACAGGGGGAAAAGGAGACAAAGCTATAAAAGCAATAAACAGTAATGAGGTGGAGAAAAACAGTGACTACCTTAGTGGTAAGGGGCATTTTTGAGGAATGAGTGAGATTTAAGCTGATACTTGAGTAGCCAAGGGATTCCAGATGAAGGAACAGCAAGTGCAAAGGCCCTGAGGCAGGAAATGAAAGAATGCCCAGGCAGATGGAGTGAAATGACGGTGAGGAAGGAGGCCTCATGACTGGTCCAGGAGACATCATTCATATTCTACTCCCTGAAAAACCCAGCAGAGAAAAAAGCAGGAGATAAGATCAGAGAGACAGATAGGAATCAGATCATGCAGGGCCTTGAGAACATAGTAAGGAGTTTGGATTTCCTTTTTATAGTTGTGGATAAAGAAAGGAAGGGAGGGAGGGAGGGAAGAAGAGAGGAAGGAAGGAGGGAAGGGAAAGAAGAAAGGAAAGAAAGAAACAAAGGAAGAAAGGAGGGAGGAACAGAGGGAGAAAAGAAAGGGCTTTTAACAAATAGTTATATTGTTTTGCCTTTTTAATATGGAAAATTTCAAGTATATAAGAAAGTAGGGCCGAGGCCGGTTTGGCTCAGTGGATGGAGCGTCGGCCTGCGAACTGAGGGGTCCCGGGTTCGATTCCGGTCAGGGGCATGTGCCTGGGCTGCGGGCACATCCCCGGTGGGAGATGTGCAGGAGGTGGCTGATCGATGTTTCTCTCCCATCGATGTTTCTGGCTCTCTGTCTCTCTCCCTTCCTCTCTCTAGAAAATCAATAAAATATATTAAAAAAAAAAAAAAAAGAAAGTAGGCAGAATCTATGTATATAAAAGCCTAAGCGACCAAACAACCGGTTGACCAGGCGCTATGATGCGCACTGACCACAGGAGCTCAACCCAGGAGCTGCCACCTGGTGGTCAGTGCACTCCCGCAGCCAACCTCCTGCAGCAGGCCAACCTCCCACAGTCCCTCAGCCAGCTGACCCCGATTGGCCCTGATGGACCCCAATCGCTGGCCAGGCCGTAGGACCCCACCCATGCACGGATTTGTGCGCCGGGCCTCTAGTTAAATAATAAAACCTCATATACCCATCCTCAGATTTCACAATTATAAACTCATGCCTAACTTGTTTAATCTATATTCCCACTCATTTTCCCCTCATTATTTTTTAAAAGATTACTTAATTGATTTTTAGAGAGAGGGGAAGGGAGAGGATGATAGAAACATCAATGTGATAGAGAAACATCAATTGGCTGCCTCCTGCATACCCACAACCAGGGATCAAACCCCAACCCAGGCATGTGCCCTGACCAGGAATTGAACTGGGAACCTTTTGGTTCACAGAACAATGCCCAACCAACTGAGCCACACCAGCCAGGTCTCCCCTTCTTATTTTGAAGCACATGCCAGATATCACATTATTTCACTCATTAACAGTTTAGTATATACCTCTCCTTAAAAAACTTTAAAAACAATCACAGCACCATAATTACACCTACAAGGATAACAATAATTTCTTTTTCTTTTTTTTTTTATTGCTAAAAGTATTACAAAGGGTATTACATATGTGTCTTTTTTTTTTCCCCCGCCACAATAATTTCTTAAGGATATTTGATCATCAAAGACATTGAGTGATACAAAGTAATGGGGAAATTGGACAAGCAATACAATTAAGCAATCTTGGATAATAGGACTCTCCTGGATTATTTGAGATTGGCCCACAATTTTCTTATGGGATAAATTAAAAGGTTAATATAGCCCTGGCTGGTGTTGTTTAGTGGTTAGAATGAAGGTCCTGTAGACCGAAGGGTGGCGAGTTTGATTCCCAGTCAAGGGTACGTACCTGGGTTTTGGTGCAGGAGGCAACCAGTCTATGTGTGTGTGTGTGTTTCCCTCTCCCCATCCCACTCTCTCTGAAAATCAATGGATAAGGACACATATGTAATACCTTAATCAATAAAGAAATTAAAAAAAAAAAAGAGCCCTGGCCGGTTTGGCTCAATGGATAGAGCTCGGCCTGAGGACTGAAGGGTCCCAGGTTCGGTTCCTGTTGAGGGCACATGTCCCGGTTGCAGCTGGATCCCCAGTGGGGGGTGTGCAGAGGCAGCCCAATGATTCTCTCTCATCATTGATGTTTCTATCTCTCTTTCCCTCTCCCTTTCTCTCTGAAATCAATAAAAATATATTTTTAAAAAAGAAAATCAATGGAAAAAAATATCCTCTAGTGAGGATTAACAATAAAATTAATATAAACAATTGGTCTTTTATCCAATTGAAATTAATATTACTATTATAACTGATTTGCACCGCATATAAGTGTCAACAGCTAAAATTTCACACAGTAAAATGTTTTATCTGCAAAACTTAACCCAGGAAAATTGCATGTAGTCAAAATCATGACCACAAAAGGCTTTCACAGTAACAGAAACCATAAAAAAGAGACTTAAGAAAGCATGATAAATATTTCAAATTTCCTTTGTAAAATTATTACAGGAAGAAAAACAATCTCAATGAGAATAACGAAAATAACTGAGTTAAAATAAAAATGAAAGTTGGAAGTGGTATAACTGCTAATAAATATATTTCCCTAAAAATTCACTGAAGTTAGTGTAATTCTGACTAAAACTTTTCACCCTAGCCGGTGTGGCTCTGTGGATAGAGCATTGGCCTGCGGACTGACGGGTCCAGGGTTTGATTCCAGCCAAGAGCACATGCCTGGGTTGTAGGCTCGGTCCCCAGTAGGGAGTATGCAGGAGGTAGCCAATCAATGATTCTCTCTCATCCTTGATGTTTCAATCTCTCTCTCCCTCTCCCTTCCTCTCTGAAATCAATAAAAAAAAAATTTTTATGGATTCACAAATGAGTCAACATGTCCTTGAGGTCAATACATAACAGTAAAACTATGTTTCATAGTATAGGGCACCACTGTCCAATAGACATATATTATGAAACATGAAGTACTATAATTTGAAATTTTGTAATAGCCACATTTTAAAAAGGAAAGGGGTGAAATTTTCTTTTTTTATATTCTTTTAAAATCCAATGTATACATTTTACACTTATAGTGTATCCAAATCCACACTAACCATATTTCAAGTGTTTAGTAACCCATGTGACTAGTGGCAACCAGATTGGATAGTACAGGTCTGGGGGAAGGCAATGCAGATAGAAAGAATGGTTTGAGCAAAGGTATGATGTTAAAAATGTGGAAGGCATATTCTGGGAACAAGAAATGGCTCCAGTATAGTATCTGAAAAAGAGTGTATGAGAGAGGGTGGAGGTAGATGGAGGGTTGTGGAGGGGGCTGTAAGACTGGGAAGATCATTTGGACTGGAAGGTTTTGATGATCTTGAGGCTAGTCTGTCCTGTTTGCTATGGAGCTGCCTATATTGTCTTTGTGTAAGACCATAAACCAATAACCTTCTTTTTCCAAAGAGAACTTGCTCTATTCCCTTCGATAACACACTCCTTTCCCCTCCCAGTTGCTATTTCTACTGTCCCTCCTTCCACTATTGACTGTACAGAGAAAGGAAGGACTGAATTCCAGCTCTCCAAA